GGGAGGGGTGTGCCCAGCAGCGGGTCCGACACCCTGTGCCGTCACAAGTGACGGTACAGCAGCAGAGCCGTGGCCACGTGCTGCCTTCTTAGCCCGCTGCCAGTGTGAGAGCAGCTTTCCCCCCATTTGCCACCGGCTGAGGGTTCTGGTGGTTTGCCTTGGCTCCGGGGACAGGAGGTGACTCGCTAAGCTGAAACAATTTGGTTGAGCCCTGAACCTCACTGACAAAACTTCTGTTATGGGGTGGTTGGGTCCCTGACGATAAATCCCGGCAGAAGGAGCACAGAAGGCTGCCTGCCTTGCTGGCAGCTTCATCCGGTTGGGGCCCCTGAGGATAAATCCCGGCAGAAGGAGCACAGAAGGCTGCCTGCCTTGCTGGCAGCTTCATCCCAGCCCCCCCAGTGCCCCCCCTGCAGTGCCCGTGTGGGGCCGTATAGGAGCCGACTCGGGGGGCTTTTCTTGAACTACTCACCAGCGGGACGGTGGGAAAGCTCGTCTGGGGACAGCCGTGGAGGGAGGGCTGGAACGGGGCGGTAGCGTCAGAAGGGACCCCCACGAGTCAGGTGGGGAGCCCGAGGGACCACGGAGGGGCAGTTCGGGGACCCGGTTTGGCAGCGTTTGGGTCGCTGCTCATCTGCGTACGCAGAGTTCAGGCTTAGTCAGGGGACCCGGGCGCGGGTCTGCCATATCACAGTGAACCGTTTCTTTTCCAGCCACATCGTCCATGCGACACACGGACACCAGCACTCCCACCCGGCCGTCGGTGCCGGGGGGGCAGGCGGAGAAGGCAGCCCTGCGGCTGGCATCAGCTGGAAGTGCTCAGGTCAGTGCTTCTGGCGAGCAAGAGCTTTTCTGATGCCGTAGAGAAATAAGCTTGACAAACCTTAATTTCACCCTCAGAGAGGCTGGATCCCCACCTCTGAGTGTGCTGAGCCTGAGCATGGGCTTTCCCGGGGCTGGGGGGACGCTGCTGGCCGGCAGAGCCGGTGGAGAGCTGCTAGAAGCTCCTCCGCTGCCTCCTTTCGGGATTCAGTTCGCCCCTCCAGGCCAAATGCCTTCTCACTGTGAGCCTGCTTTTCTTGGGTTTTGTACATATGAAATGGCCTTTATCCAAAAATGGATGCTGACACCGAGGATTTGCAATTAGCAGGGGACAGGCAGGAGCTTAAATTCTCCCTTCAGACTCATCCTCAGATCTCCACGTGGAGTTGTCTAATCCCCTGCACTTGTTCATCACCAGCGTGAGCTGGTATTGCACTACCTCTGCACTAGAGGTGCTATGGACCTACAATAAGGCAAAGTTTTCATTTCTAGGCCATAGCAACTCCTCAAACCCCTGGTGAACACCACCCTCAGCATCCCATGGCTCAGCCGGCAGTCCCCTCTCAGCACGCTGTGATGGTACGTGGTTTATTTTTGTTAAATGCACTGGTATGGCCAGTCAGACTCGGTGGCTCCGGTTCACTGCCCTTACCTCCTTGCTGGCTGGTCCCAGCGTGGGGGCAAGGTTTCAGTGCCCTGTCTTTTGCTGTTACTGAGATTTACATGCACCCAAAGTATTGCAACCACTTATTTCGGCGAGGAGGCAGAGCAGGTGGGACACCCAAGGAGATAGCTTAGAAGAAGGTTGACACTTGTCAAAACCATTGGGGGCTGCTGAAGGCTCATCTCCGAATGGGTAGCAACTAACTAGAGGCCGATATGATGCTGAAGAGTTTTATTGCCCTGGTAGAGGAAGGAGATGTCCTAGAAGGTTTGAGTTAGGCCAGAAAAAGGAGAAAAAAAAAAAACCCACAAGGAAAATGTGGGAGTCATAAACCATAACTATGATGAGACCCATCCTCACAGAGCTTTGAGGTCAATGTAAGTAAATATTCAGACCACAATACTGGGATTGAAGACAGCCAACGTAGGTGTGAAGGATGGATCTCAGGGTGGGATTACAACCTAACTTGGGCCTAGAATTTGGCAAATAGAATCAGCAGCACAGCTGAAAGCCCAGCCTGGAGGTGTGGCAAGGGTTTGCGTCAGTGGCGGCCACAAAACGCACATAGTCCAAAATCAGCAGGGTGTCACACTAAAGGGACAGGGAAGTCCCATGCACAGACATTACCTCTACGCAAGAATTTAACAGCCCAACAGCTGGAGTGAGGCACCGAGTATGAGCCAGTTGTGCTGCTGCTCTGGAAGTACAGTGGTACTTCGGTTAAATATGCAATTGCCATTTTTTGTCATCATCATATTTTCTATGGCAAAAGCTGAAAAGCAGTGGTTTTTCTGAAGCCAGCATCACTGTGAACGTGAGCAGTGGGACTGGTCTTATCCTGTGATCTTGTTTGCTGTTCTCCACAGCCAGTGTACCATTTCCCAACCCAGCTGGGGATGATGCATCAGCTGAAAGAGCAGCTGGAGGAGAGGACTCGCATCCTGCAAGCTGACATCAAGACGCAGCAAGAAGAGCTCCACGTCATCAAGGAGCAGCTCCAGCTAGTGCAGGACTCCAACCTGCAGGTACCCGCTGCCCCCGGGGTTCCCAAACACACAAATCATTTGCTTTTCCTTTGAGCATGCAGATCTGTAACAAAATTGTCAGTGGCAAAAGCAAATGCTTTAGGAATGAGCTCTGCATAAACTGGTAGTTTGGTCTCAGATGTGGCAGTAGTGTGTCCCAAGAGAGGTATGGCGTCAGTGACTGCTTACATATTGAATCATTAATTTCATTATTCGTAAAAAAACAACCCCAAACTAATCTGAAGTCCCCCCTGCACAAAAAGCTCGGCGGTTCGGTGGCTGGTTAGTGCTGCTGGATCCCCAGTACCGTTCCTGTAAAATGCAACAGGCGTAACGGAGCTGGAACCGTCGTGGCTCTGAATGAATATTTGGGCACAACCTGACAATTGATTTTCTGTTATTCATGGTTCACTTTGCCCCTGGATTTAGAGGTGTTGCTGCTGGGGTGTTACAGATGTTGACAGAGACAGCCTGGGAGCCAGAGATGGTATCTCCCACCATACGAGCTGCGATAACTCACGTGTCTCTTTTATCTAAAGATGCTGATGCAGCAGCCGATCCCCGTCGTCTTTAACAACGTGCAGCACCCGAGCCCCAGGAGGCCGCTGCCGCCGGGGACGCCCAGGCAGACCACAGCCAAGAAGTCACAACAGCAAGGCCTTACGGGGACGAAGCACTACTGCAACACCCGCCTGCCGTCACCGCGCCAGTTCCTCAGGGACCCCCGCGGCACGGCCGCCCAGGTCGCTGGCTGCTTCGTTGTCTTCATCGTCCCCTTTCCTGGCTTTTAAATATGTGTCTGCCACGTCCCCCTTCCCTGTGGTCCCACACATCTCCTCCGTGCTGGCTTTACTCTGTCACTGGCATTACGAATCTGTGTCGAGAGTCAGGTGCAAATAATGTCATTCAACTGTAAAAATAAAAGCCAGGTAGCCTAAAAGCATTAAACCCTGGGGACCGCTGGAGCCGTCCTGGTGACCGGATGGGAACCGAGTGGGAGGTTTGGGCTCTCATTCGCTTCTGTTTGCAGTTGCAACGTGATGCTCGTTCGTAGCCAGTGGGAGTTGCGACTTCGTAACGTGGGGAAATAGGCATAATTTTAAAAGATTAATTTTTTTCGTAGAGGGCTGCTTTGAAAAACAAGGTTGTTTGTCATCACTGGACCTAAATCCACTATGTAGGTGGTCACACATCCCTGGGAAAGAAATGACGTGTCCAAAAGCAAAAAAGACCAAAACTACTGATTTAAAGGACAGATGAGGTGCTTTTCCTTGGGACTTCGCATCTGCACTCCTCCTCCCCTCTTAAGCTGGTCTCTTCTCCCTCGAGCTTTGCATGCCCTTCCCCTCCTACTCTGATTTCTCAAGAGACCGTCTGCTCCTGCTGCTGGTGATCCCAGCACCTGCCGTGCAGGGGCTGTAAATGCAAATGGGTTGGTTGTCCTGGACAGACTGGTCCTACTGCTGTGTTCAGCGAGAATATCCTACTGTTCCTTCTCCTTTTCCCAGCTGCATACTGGAAGCAGTTATTTTAGCCTTCTATCAGGGAGCTTTAAAAACTTACATGGGTATCTATGTCTTCATTTCAGGTACAGCAACAGCAGCAGCACCTAGTGAGAGGAAGCCAAGCCCAGCAACCATGTCTGCCGGGGCAGGCGGGCATTTCAGTGCCCCTCTACAACAACCCCATGGTGTTTTCGCAAACGCATCCCATTACAGTGGCTGCACAGATGCCGACTGACGGCAGCGAAAGGCAACCACAGTCTGACTACAGCCAGGACAGGAGCCTCAGGTATGGACACAGCCCTGCTGGGACCGTCCTGATGGCGGTGACAGAAAACAGCAATACCTGTGCAGCGGGGAGGGCAGGCACGTCTGGGCTCAGGGGCGTGATGGTCTCTGGGTGACACAGCAGGGGCACAGGGATCACAGAATTGTGGGATCATCAAGGTTGGAAAAGACCTTTGAGATCATCAAGTCCAACCGTCAACTCAACACCACCATGCCCACTAAACCATCCCTAAGCACCACATCTACACATCTTTAAAACACCTCCAGGGACGGTGACTCAACCGCTTCCCTGGGCAGCCTGTTCCAATGCTTGACAAAGCTTTCGGTGAAGAGGTGTTTCCTAAACCTCCCACGGTGCAACATGAGGCCGTTTCCTTTCATCCTGTCGCTTGTTACTTGGGAGAAAAGACCAACACCCACCTCACCACAACCCCCTTTCAGGGGGTTGTAAAGAGCGACAAGGTCTCCCCTTATCAAGGATGTTGATCCCCTGTCAAGGATGTTCCCTCCTGCAGAGATCTGGGTTAGTGCTGAGCCGGTGTGCATGCAAGCAGGGTGCTGTGCACACCATGCCGTACCCTCAGGGGCCTGAAATCCTTTTCTCTCTATATTTCCATAAATTGTCCACATAGCTAAGTAACCTTTGGACATCTGCTGCTGTCAGAGAGAGTGAACAGGAAAAGCTAAGAGGGACACCCTTTCCGAAGCCTATGTCTGCTTGCTCTGGAGCTCCAGAGTGTCTTCTCTCCCGCCAGGACAAGTGCCACGGCAAAGACATTTTTCTTTTATACAATGCTGAAAACGTTGTGTAAAACACCTACAACTGCCCCAAACTATTCGGCCACCTTTCAGGGAGGTGTCTGCAGACACTGCCTCCAGGATCCAGCCATTTCAGAATACTTCAAAATAAGCCAACAAGATAAACCCTTAGAGGTCTCACTATAAAACGTATTTTTTATGCGGGAGGTTTAGCAAGTTTCAGCTCACTTCTGCGAGTGCATTAGGCAAGGCAATAATAAACATCCTGTTTCATTAGCTTTATTCAGGGTGATGGTCTGTGTGCTTTCAGGGAGGATTTTCAGGGATTTGTTTCTAGAGACTGACAGTCAGGAGTTTGGACTTCTCCCTTCCCTGACCGTCCCCTTGTTTTTCCTCCACCACAGGATGCTGTTGGATCAGTCTATCCAAGCCATGATGCCCGCTGCCAACAGCAGTGGCCAGTCCACGCAGAGCAGTGCCAGCAGGCAGCAAGGAAAGTGAGTCTTTGCTGGCCCTTATTTTCATGCAGTGTTTTAGCAAGGCATGTTACGGTGCTGAAAATTACTTCGAAAAACTTGTACGTGATCATGCAAACACAGTCTCAGTCTTAAAAGAAACAAAAGCTCAGCTGGTTAGCAGAAAAAGTAATGAGAATTTTTTTAATTACAAAGAACTTTATGAAAACTAAAATTCTTTGAAAAAATATTTTTGTAACCTTTTTCTGGCTTTTGCAAAGCTTAAAATGACTAATCAAGTCACGGAGGAGATGTACAGCCTTAAAAACCTTAACTGTCTGCAGTTCCAGTCTGTGCTTGACGGGAGGGGGAAATCTGGGGCCCGCTTTCGCCAGGCGCTGCGTGGTTCGACAAACCCTGTTCCATTCTGGTTCCTGCAGCAACTTGGGCTCCCCAGGTCTTGCTCCGGTGGTGGGTCAGGGTTTGGGTTCTCACACCTTATTTTCCTCCTCGTGGCAGATTCGTTGCAGAGCAGCAGATCTTGCCTCCCCCAATACAGATGCAACCGATTACCTGTAGCACCGTCCGACCTCCAGCCCCACCGCCCGTTTTTGCCCCGTCTCTGATGATCCCACACACCAGCTTCACATCCCACCAGGCAAACACACCGGTTCATCTCCACCAGTGGCCACAGCAGCAGGGTCAGCAGCACCGTCTCTCAGGTTCCGCGGCACCGTCTCTACCTGCAGGTAATGGAGCTGGGAGCAGGTTTGTGAGGATGCACAGGGATGGCCTTGGGGTTGGGTTGGGTTTTTTGAAGAAATGGGGTTTACCTGGCTAATCAAACCTCGGCAGTGCACTCACACGTGCTCCGTGCCCATCTGCACGTACCCAAGTGCTGAGCCTTTCCAGGCTGGCTCTGCACCCATTCAAGACCATGTTTTCCAATTCAAAGCCATGTTTTCCACCATTATCACTTAGTGTCGATAAGAAATACCCATTTTTTTCAACCACAGCTTGTCATCCAGAGGAGCTCTGGTGGGAATATTGCTGTAAACAATGATCAGGGATAAGCTCCTTTGAAAACATGCCTCCTGCTGTTATGTCTCAGCATAGCAAGGATTTTATCAGCTGCCGTTGCTCTTTCTTTTAATAAATGGGTGTTTCAGCAACACAAATCTCTGGAGAAGTTGACTTTGGTTTTTCAAAGCACAGCTTCATCAGTGCATGCCAAACCAATGACGCTGCCAAGGAGAGGCGTTGTTAAAACTAATAATTAATTAGTAATACACTCTCCCAACACTTGCCTGGTTGGCAGAGTTACGATTCTCCAGGGAAAGATGGTAGAAAGCAAAGCAGGAGAAGTAGGTACAGCTGAAAGTGGCCATGCAGCAGGACTGGATTTAGAGTAAGAAATGAATCGTCGTTGTCCCCAAATGAGCCATCCCCACTTCGGGTATGTGTGCCCACGGGCTGCGCTGAGGTCCTGAGGACTAGCAATATGGACAGCAGAATGATGACGCTGGGGGAGATAAATAGCTCCAGGGCAATTTGAAAACCAGGCTTTGGTGCCCCAGTGCCTTTAATGGGGGGTGAACCAGCAAGTCCAGGTCTTTGGGGTACCAGCCACGGGGTGGTACGTGGACAAGGCCGCTCTGCAGCCTCTTCATTGGTTGCCTGAAGATCCTTCCCATGCAAGATGGAAGGTGCACGTCCTGCAGATTTTACCTCGCATCCAAGTAGCTTTTGAAGGCTTCCGTTCCTGCTGGGCTCCCCGTGGGGCTGGTAGGATGGGCCCTGCTTCCCTCCGTACTCTCCAGCCATTGCTAGTCGTGCTGATAGCACCAGCGTCCCAAGCCGCTTGTCCGCAGCTTGTACCCTGGACGGGTAGAGGTTGCCTTTAGGACTTGGTGCTCGCGCTCCGGGCTACGAGCCTCGGCATCAGCCCCACATCAAGAGAGGGAGTGGCAGGTCCCACTTGCCAGATTTGTGTCTCCCAACAGATGCAAGGTCCTGAGCCGGTGCCTGGGGGTCCGACACAGCGCATTTTCCAGCCCCCCCACGCCCCACAGCAGAACCCCCTGAGCTACTTCCTCCACCCGCAGC